TTTGAATGATTCCCAGTGCCGCAAAAGGACAAGACGACGACGATGGAAGAGATCGAGAGCCGGTGTGTTCCTTTTTGTTACTCTCACAGCGTCTCGAAGTGTCATGACAACACATGAAACAGACGTGGGCCGAATTAAATCCCGCTAACGTCTTCCTGGCTGTCCTTCGAATCATGAGAGCAGCATCCTAAAGAAATGTCTTCCTTTGCAGGTGCAGGTAGGCAGAAAGCAGGCAAATGGTCCTGGCGGGATAAAAGGAAGACGCACCCTCCATGGGCTCCGTTTTTTTTTTTCTTCTTAAATTTCCATTTTCCATCCGTTCCCTCCCCCACTGCGCGCCCCCCCCCCTCCTCTTCTGTCATTGTGCCCCTTTCCCCCAATACGAGAACTATTCCGCGGAAACAAAATACGGCAGCATTCCTCTCCCAGACCGGAAAAACTCCTCCAGGGTACAATTCGGCTGCACATCTCGGTTTTGCGCCCAACGTGCAAAAAAATCAGCTTTGCATATGATTTTTCCGCCATATTTTCCCTCAAATTGCTCCATGTATTTTAAGCGAAATCCCCAATACCACAAATTGTAGCCGCACTGCTGCAGTGCCTCGCCCAGTAGTTTTGTGGCAAACGTGCCGAATCCCTCGGGCGAGCGCTGCATGGTAAACATCGTGAAATCGTGGTGCACACAACCAAGAGAGAACCCCAGGCAGCCAGCAAGGACATTGCCACTGCTCTTTTCCAGGAGCTCCACCGACATGATTTTCACTCCATATTCTGGACAAGCCGCCAAATCCACAAGAAGATCAATGTAGCTTTCCTTTAACCACGTATTCCCCTTTTTCTCCAGATGATATTCCCGCGCCAGGCACAACGAGTCCCGAATATCTCGATTTACAGCCACTGCAAAAAGGCCACACACCATAATACGTCGAACCTTTTTGCTCTTCCGCCAGGCAATGTTTTCCTGCTTCAAGTCCAAGCAGAAACGACCTTTACTACCGTTTGGAAGCGTGTACACGGGTGCCTCACGTATTGCATCAGGGATTGCAAAAAGAGAGTGGTAAAACAAACGCTGCAACAACGTCGTATTCTCCCATCCAAAATGTTCAATCAACATCCAACTGCTTCTCTGTGACAATAAACAGTCAAGGAAGTCATCACGGTAGAGAAGTCCCACATCCAAAATGGTATGTGCTGCAAGAAACGCCAATGGTCCTCTGTTTATACACGTCTTCACAAAAAAGAACTTCACTGGGGCGTCCACTCCGTTTCTACCAACACCGAGGCAACTTTCCAAGTCTGTATCACGCGTAGACGAATCCTCGGTCGACGGCCCCACGCCGACAAGGTATGCCCTTCCTGTATCCAAGGCCCACAGGGTTGCCATATATTCGCCCGATGACTCTTGGCATCTTGCGTGAAGCGGAAATTTTTGCTCGGACAGAAAAGAACCCTCTGCATCGGCCGGCTGACAGCCGTGAATGGTGAATGGGGACAAACTCAGCACATCCAAATAATTCTCACCCGCCCGCCAGTGTAGGCCCATAACTTTCCAACCAATTTCCTCGCCCCGCCCAACGCAACCAGTATTTAGCAAAAGGATCCACTAAAGACAAGCAGCAACTGAAACAAATGGGGAAGTCTGCGTTGCCCTAATCCCATTTCTCCATCGTAAAACAATATAGAAAAAAAAAAAAAAGAAGCAACGAGGGCGATAAAAACAAAATAATACGTTGAACGCACGTCTCTCCACCCCTGCATGCCATGAGATTGTCAATCTTCCTTCCCCCCCCCTGAAAAGCATGGGTCAGCTGATCCATATTTCACTGCATAGTTTCAATTGCAATAAAAAGAGCGGTTTTCTTTCTTTCTTGAAAGAACTCTGATGCACCACGTTGATGGGAACCCGAGCCCCTCCTCTCCTCAACAGAGAAAAAAAAAATTGATGATCATTTTGGCTGCACAAAACAATGACGTTCACACATATTTAATTGAACATGCATGCAAGTTAGACAACCTCTTCTCAGCCATTCTTTTTCCATGAGTCCAGCAGAAACCACGCAAAAGAGAAAAACCCCAAACAAACAAACAAACAAAAACCGACACTCGCCATGTACAGAAAAGGTGTCTCCATCGCCTTCATATCCCCACACCTGCGAAGTAAAACGCAACAACACGAAAGAATAAAAGCACAGACGTACATGTAAACAAAAATAAAAAATAAAAACAAAATCCAAAAAGGATTTCAAGAGAACACTAAAAACATCATCATCCGCTGGTAAAAACAAATCCCCATTCCAACTTAAATCCATGTTCAATCCTTCATTCCCCTACCCATTACATTCAAAAAGAGGTTCTCATCGTTTTGCCTCTCACACGGTTGCCATTTCTTCTTTACCCCTACTCAAACCCAAATGCATAAGAGAAAATCAAGAATAATCTTCCGGGCAGCTCGCCGGATCCTGAAAACCTATGGAAACCAAACAAGTCAAGAAAAAAGGTTCGTTAGTTAATTGCTTCAATGATTTCTTTCCATTCAATATATATATAGAATTCTGTGGACCACTAGCATGGTCCTTTGTCCTTACTTGGGATTTAAATATTATTACTTACGAAGTGGCAGACTTTGGGGTCCTCCAACCACAAGACCCCGCCGCGTGGTGGGAATCAAAAGGGGGTGGATGGGTGGGATGGCAAAATAAAAACAAATATTATCTGGCCCCTATCGGCTCCCTGCCCCTACAAAGTCGCGTTCTTCCCAAAAGATTCATACGGTGGAGAGTATCATAAAGAATGTCTTCATTTATCAGGATATACATGCATTAATTAAGTTAGCCAGCTCTTCCACGATCATTCTTTTCACAAGCTCCTAAAAAAAAAAATTATGTTCTTTTTTCTTTCTTGTTTTACGATAACCCTGTGATAACGCCTGTCTCACCGTCAATTTCTATGCCATAAAATGCGGGTCGAGTGGGAAGACCTGGCATGGTGGAAATGTCTCCAAGAAATGGAAAGACAAATCTCGCACCACAGTTGACACGAACGTCACGAATGGGCACTATGAAGCCTGTCGGAGCGCCCCTCAAAGAAGGGTCATGAGAGAAACTGTATTGTGTCTTTGCCATGCATACAGGGAACGAGCCGTAGCCACAGCGTTCAAACTCCTCCAACTTCTCGGCTGTGCCATTAAGATACTCCACACCGGCTGCCCCATATATTTCTTTGCAGATCTTTTCAATTTTTTTCTTGAGGCTGTCCGTGTCCAGATACAACATGCGGAAGTTCACCTGCACATTCTGTGTCGCCCGAATGACAGCCTCGGCAAGTTCTACAGCGCCCGCTCCGCCTTTGGCCCAGTGATTCGTCACCACAACGTCAAAGGCACCTGTCGCACCTCGGACAAGTTCCTTCACGAGTTCCAACTCCGCCGGAGTGTCCGTTGCGAAATGGTTCAACGCAACAATTACGGGGACACCAAACTTGTGTATATTCAAGACGTGGCGAATAAGGTTCGAACATCCTTCACGAACAGCCTCAAGATTTTCAATACCCGCCTTGCTTGGTTCCACTCCACCATGAAACTTCAAGGCTCGCACTGTGGCAACAACCACAGCACCGTCTGGCTTTAGTCCACTGGCCCGACACTTGATGTTAAAAAACTTTTCGCAGCCCATATCGGCACCAAAACCCGCCTCCGTTAGCACGAATCCATTCGGACCGGCCAGTTGTAGTCCAATTTGGTCTGCGATAATACTACTGTTTCCGTGAGCGATGTTCCCAAAGGGTCCCGCATGCACAAGAACAGGTGTACCTTCCAGTGTTTGCATGAGCGTAGGCTCGATTGTATCCCTCATCAACGCAGTCATGGCTCCGGCACAACCGATATCTTCCGCAGTAATCGGTTCCCCCGACACACTTTTCGCCACTACAATAGCACCAAAACGAGCACGCATGTCGGTTAGATCTTTAGAAAGAGCAAGAATGGCCATTAGCTCAGAGGCGACAGATATATCAAACCCTGTTTTCCTTGTCACACCCTTTTCTTCCTTACCTTGACCAATTGTAATTTCTCGCAACATTCTATCGTTAACATCTGTCACGCGCCTCCAAGAGACGGTGTCGGGGTCAATATTTAAGCGAGCAAAGCGGGTCCGCTCTTGGGGGGTCAAATCCTTTGGATCCTCCTTCGAAATACCCAGCTTTTCTAGCCGTTTTCGCATGATGGGTGTAAAGTTCTTTAGCTCGGCGGTGAGACGTCGGTAGAGAGCCTCATCGCTCTGGGTGCGCTCGTGAAAGATCCTTGTGTCAATGGCCGCTGCCAACAAATTGTTGGCCGCTGTGATGGCATGTATATCCCCTGTACCGTGAAGATTAAATTCTTCCATTGGAATCACTTGACTATAACCACCCCCAGCAGCTCCCCCTTTTATACCAAACGTGGGTCCTTGTGATGGCTGCCGGATGCACGCAAATGTGGGTCGGTGTAGGTGGGCGCAGAGGGACTGTGCGAGACCAATAGTTGTGGTACTCTTGCCCTCACCGAGTGGCGTCGGATTCATGCCCGCCACAACAACGTACTTCCCAGGCGGTGAATTTTGTAGCCTCTTGAGAATGCTTGTTTTCACCTTGGCCCTTGTGGATCCATAGGGGTTGAGTTCCGAGGAAAGAATGCCAAAGGCCTCCGCGACACGATTAATTGGATGGGGTTTTGCACTTTGGGCAATTTCCAGGTCGCTCGGGACGGGGTCAGAGCACTGGATTTGATGCACAGTTGACATCATCTGTGGAGCGAAACGAATCCACCAGAAACAAACGCGGTGCAAAATAAAAAAAAAAAAAAAAGAGGGCTGCTCAAAGTTCATTTAAATAAAATGAAAGAGGAGAAAGAGAGGCATCCACATTTCCAGGCATCACACGAGACAGCGATATTCGTCACGTACAAACACACACCAGCGAGAAACAGAGAGGGAGGGGCACAGCTGTCAAAATCCACGTGGAGTTTTCGTTTTTATTTTTTATTTTTCTCCTCAAAGACCCACGTCTTTTTTTTTCATCATTTTTCTCTTTTTTTTTTTTTTTATGTGTTTTTTGTTTGTTTGTTGAAATGAGCGCGTGGGTGGTTCCGGTTGATATATTTCTTCCCTTCTCTTCCTTGACTTTTTTCCCTGCCCCATCTGCTGCAGCTGCCACCGTGGGCGACATGAGACACCACCGCGTGCTCCGGTGATGATTTCTCCTTCAAGAGACGCCACAGCACGTCACGCTGTGTACGGGAGTTTGACGAGCCACCTTCTCTCCCTCTCTCTCTCTCTCTCGCCTCGCGTCAGTCGTCATACACATATTCCAGTTTTACCTCCGGTTGTTAATGCAGTCCGCCGCGTCCACGACCACGACCGCGTCCTCGCGCCATTCCACCAAAAGGGTTAAAGCCACCCCCAGCGCCGCCCATCATGCTTGCAGCCATCATTGTTGCAGCCATCGCCATCTGCTGTTGCATCGCACCCGGTCCACCCCCGCGATAACCGCCCCGGGAAAAGCCACTCGACCCCCTACCGCGTTGGAACGCCGGAATGTTATCACGTTTCATCGCAACATTCAGCGGTTTGCCATGTAGTGACTGTCCATCCTTCAAGATTCCCGCGGCGGCCTGTTCGGGCGCTTCAAACTCTATGTACGCATTGCCTTTCAACTGCCCAGTAAACTTATCGCGCAACATAGTAAGGCGTTTAATCGTACCGCATGAACTGAAAAATACTCGGAGTTCACCTTCCGTTGTACGAGGGTCCAGGCCCCCCACAAAGATAGACGTGTTTTTTGTGGCTACAAAACCCGTGCTCTTTCGATGACCTTCGTCTTGTGCCGCCGTTTCCTGCAGCGTCTTTAGCCGCAGATCTTCCTGTAGATCACTCACTTGTCGCTGCATTTCCTGCAGCTCGGCCTCTGGATCCATCTCGGTATTGAACTGGACACCATTCTCATCTGACGGCTTCGAAGACATGTCCCCTCTTTCCCTCTTTCTTTCCTTAATAGGGACGCAAGAGAAGAGCAGCGCGTGCATCACACCAATTGTTCATTTAAAAAAAGCAAAAAAAAAGAAAAAAAGAAAAAAGAAAAACCACAACAACTGCAAAAACAAAACAAGTAAATAATAATAATAACATTCTTTGCGCTTCAGCAGAGAGCACCCAACTTCTTTCGCTGCAATGCAAGGCATGCCGTCCTCCTTCTTTTTATTCTTCTCTCGTTGGTGTCATACAACTGCGCCCGCCCACTCAGAGAAGCAACGCCATGCAAAAACTCCAGAAAAACTGCAATGCATCCCTCATCTCAAAAGATCTATTTTTTCTCGTTCTCTTGTTGCCAATAATTAATTATATCCCCCATCCCTGACGAGTCACAGGGAGCAGATTGTGGTCCCCAAGTCCAGAAGCTGCAGAAATTCATCGCCGCCGTCCGACAAACGCCGCTCCACATCACAAAGCTTCAATGCGATGCGACTCCTCACAAGAGAATTCAAAGGGCAGCTTGAGCCAATAATATATTGATGCAGCTGCGAAAGAAGCTGACTTGCCGGAAATCCCTGCCCAACAATCTCCTTCGTCAAGGAATACATGCCATCAAAGTCTTTCGTCACAAGCGCCTTCAAGTACTTTTCCAACAGCTCCATTGGTACGCTACCCGACACCTCCAAAAAGTTTTCTTTTGTAAGGTCACTCCCATGCGCTTTCTGTGCGTACTGCAAATACATGATGGCAGACCGCAAGTCTCCACCACTCACACGATCCAGCGCCTCCAAAGAGGCATCCGATACGGTTATTTCCTCCATCTTTGCAATTTCTCGAATCCGATCGTACAAGGTTTCTCTTACAAGAGGCTTGAACCGATACTTGGCGCAGCGGCTGGCTATGGGATCGATGATACGGCTGACATAATTACAGAGAATACAAAAACGTGTGACATCGCTGAAGTCCTCCATCATCCGGCGCAAGGCGGCCTGTGCATCCGGTAGCAACGCGTCCGCTTCGTCCAGAATAATGAGCTTGAATTGAGGGACAGGGTACACCTGGCCATCGGACTGCACTTTGTGCCCGACGCTACCCACTGCCGTCTGTGCAAACACCTTCACTTTTTCTCGTATGACTTGAATACCACGATCGTCACTTGCATTCATCTCTCGCACGCGGCTGTGCACGTAATCCGGCCCAAAGAGTTCCCGCGCCACGGCAAGGATTGCAGTCGTCTTTCCTGTGCCCGGCGGACCGTGGAAGAGAAAATGGGGCATGCTTGCAGACGGTTGGAGACTGGCCCGCAGTGCACACACCGCCTCCTCCTGTGATTTCACTTCGCTCAGTGTCATTGGCCGGTACTTCTCCACCCACGGCGTGGCATTGGGCTTCGGCTCAATACGCGGCTTTTTGGCCACAGAGGTGCACGCCATCACTCTTTTCTTCCCACTGCTCTTAACTGCAATGCCCTACCACTGCCACCAGCACCACGAAACCCTCTTACACGTGACACTGCGTTTTCCTGCAAGAAAAACAAAAATCAATAAAAACCCAAAACAACAGTCACAAACGACAGCAAAAAAAAAAAAAAAAAAAAAAAAAAGGGAGGCCACAACAACAATGAAACCAGAAAGTCAACAGTATCATGGATAATATGATGCGTCGCAAATCATATAAGGCATTTATGGGTGCAGTAGGAATATTTATGCAAATATACTGATGTAAGTCCGTGTCGCGTCCCATAAAAAAAAAGTCAATACACAAATTTTCAGATTTGATTTTCCTTCTTTCTATGTTGTAGCAGGTGGTGTCTATTTTCTTCACACATTTAAACTCACGGGAAGTCCAAAAGGTACTCCTTCCCTCTCGCTCGTATTCTCATCAATCACCTTTTTCTTTTTTTCTGTTTCATCTTTGTTTTTACTGCCGTTATGCGTCGCTCCCTTCGTTTCCCGCTCCCGCCATGCCAACCTTTGGAACAATGCATTCACCCCTCCGCAGAACTTTTTTATCTCAGTCTAATAAGCATGTCAGCATTGCCGTATAAAGGAGAGAAGAGTTTCTTCCATAATTCATTGGGAAAGCCCATGGCATTTCCAGCAATCATTACCTCCTCATTTCAATCTTTGCTGCTGCTTATGCCGTCATCAATTACGCGAGTTAAGGCGTGAATAAGTTTCCTCGATCTTTTAACGTGGGGAAGCACTCAATTTCATAGCTTTCGGCTGTGGCGGCAGAGCACGCGTGGGCTCCTGGTCCAGTGAAGCAAGTGGTTGATGTCGACTCTTGGTGGAGCTTCCCATAAAGATGCCATTTTCCCTCGAGAGAGCATTGGGGTGCCTTGTTGGCTGCATTCCCGCATGCAACATATCAGGCTCCCCCGAGCATGGCGGAGGTGTCGTAGATGTCAGTAGTGACAGAAGTTATAAAGTCCTGTTTCGCTTCTGTTCTCGTGGAGGATGCATTGGTGCTGCTGCTGCGGCGAACCGAACCGGCCTGGGCGCCACAAACGACGGAGGACTGCTTTTCCACACTGGTGCCGAAAATCATCCTTTCCACGGCCTCCACATCATGTAAAACTCCCTTCAGCTCAATCTCCTCTTGATGAATAAGAGACTCGGATTTCTTGCTAACCACCACGTTGGATACCCCTGTGAAGTAGACAAGGGCAATATAAAGCGCCCTTGCCATCTTCCTACACGCGGTGTCTCCAGTTTCCATGTAATTGCTCGACACTGTGGCAAGCCGAGATCGAGACGAGCAAACTTCACCCCCCGAAGCGACAACGCCAACGACAAGATATCCCAAACACTTGCGCCGCAGCTCCGGGTGAGTGCCGGATTCTAATCCCTCTATGATGCTTTTAAGCGCTGCTGCGTTGCCCCCGCTGCCAATAACAAGAGCTCTGAGAGCCACATCTGTGGCCTGTGCGATTGCTGACACCGTGACAAAGACACCGCGCACAAGAACAGAGCACCACTTAGAGAGAGCTACTTTCAGTGAACCATCGTGATAAAGCCTCGCAGGGGTCCTTCTTGCGATGCTCACCATAACATTACATGCCTGCCGGCAAACCGCAGAACGTTTTTCCGCCGCACACACGGACAAAGTTCCTGAAATATGGGAAACCACCCGAGAAATATTGTGAAGAAAACTCTCCTCACCCATCATGTCGATCCATCGATTAATAACTCGCAGTGCACTTAGTCGATCTGCCACAGACTCTGTTGTCGATGCACACACCCGTGCTAGTCGACGTACCTCGTTTTCCAACTCCTCATCGCATGGCAGGGTAACCGTTGCTTCTGCTGAAATTTCACCCTCAGACGTTCGGAGAGAAGCCTCTGAAGCCCCGCGACCAAATAACGACAAAAGGGATGCCTCATCCTCCACCATGTAGAATTTAAACATGACTTCAGGAACATTTCCCGAGGCAGCATCGATGTAGTCTAGGTACTCTATGAACTGCTGCAGTGCGTTTTCTGCAATGGTGAAATCATTGCCATCTTCCACCTTGATGCGCAGAAGGGTTCGGGTGGTTTTACTGTGAGCCACCATGGCATCCAACGCGGCAGCAGAAACGGCCGCGCGGAGGCGGGGCTCCAACTCAATTGCGTTGGTTCGAGTCAACACCTTCGCCTGATGCATCGGCACTGCACCATCCCGTCGCTGCTTGTCAAAGCTGACGATGTCTCCCACACCAATGTGCATGAGGCACTGAAAGACGGTTTCTGGTGAGCTTCTGAGCATGTCAGCCGTGGACCTCACACTCTGGAAGAAAATCGCCAACTCCCTCATTGTCCTGTAAATTTCCTGGAGCTGAGCAACAGTGTGAGGCGGATGTCGAAGCGCCCCGTGTAACTCCATCTGACGCTGAAGCAAGAGAGCAACATCCATACTTTGATGCAGAAAGAACTGTCTTACACCGCTCCCCTTACTTCTCTCCCTTTGATGTGGCAATAAGAGGCAAAGAAAAGAAGAATGCGAGATCCCACGCGCACACACAAAGAAGATACTCCCTTCTCCCGACACAAACATTACAGTAGAGAGAAAGAGAGAAAGAGAGAGAGAGAGAGGAAAAAAAAAAAAACAAAAACAAAAAAACAAAAACAAAAAAAAAAAAAAAAAAGATACGTACGGGTTTTTGTGACATCTTTTGTTTTTTTTTCATTTCTTTTTGAGCTTCATTCACTTTGAGTGCAACACAACTTTAATAATAATAATAATAATTCTGTGATAACAACGGTGCCGCAGGATATTCATCTGGCAGACGAATGAGGACCGACACTCGTTGGAAACACCGTGGAGGCGGGCACTTCTGAGAGCATATCGGACAAAACTAGCCCTGCTGCAATGGCATCACCAGCCACCGCAAGCAGTGAACCACCGTCATAGCCAATGATTTCCACATCACCGAGTATAAGATTCTGCCGTAATTGGGCCTCTTCGCTTGTGAGAAACGGCAAATAAACTTCCTCCACTTCCTTTCGGGACACATCGGTAGGAAAGTCTGCAATACATGGCACATCTCTCCTCCCGTACTGCGCATGAAGAAGTGCCTCGCACAATATGTCTCTATGCATGCTCATTATTTAGCCCTCCTCTCCCAACAAGACGCAAAAACATCTCAGAAAACAAAAAACAAAAAACAAAAAAAAAGTACTCACAAACACAAACAAATAATGAGTCATCCAAAAACTACACAGTTTCTCAAATATTCTCATACATATTGGTGCACATATACAAAAGTCAATAATCTTCTAAAATAAAATTGTTTTACATCATTAGACACCAAATTT